TGTCTGATTTTTTTTTGCAATTGCATAACTTTCCAGTTACAAACTCTCCTAATTGCCATTCGTTCTTAGAACAAAATGACAACAAAAGTAATAGGTTGTTGCGAAACACTTTTTTTCAACATATTTAAGAACCCGCCTATTTTTCCTGCTGTTTCGCAACCGTTACAATTTTGCCAAAAATTCCAAAAGTACAATTCGCTATCGCCCAAAGTCGCGTGAAATAAGCTTCGATCGCCGATTTGGTTAAATCGTAGATATCAACGGTGCTGAATCTTTTTGCATAGTAAATGGGTTTTGGCTAACTTGGCTAGTAGCTCAGGAAAGTAAAAAAGCCTTCGAACTCATATTTTGGTAGAAATCCGAATCGGGATTTCCGTTTTTACCACTGAGGACCAGTTGAGCTCTAACTTCAGCTGTCTGACCTGCTCAGGTCATAACAGATTTTGGGAATATCTTTCTTCATCCCAAACAACGTTTAAGGGACCTGGTATTATCTTTTAACGACATTTGCTGATTTTTTGGGCTTCTTGAAGCAACTCAGTGGTCGAAATCTCCTCATATGTCCAATAGACACCAACTACCTGCGGCCCACAGTGACTTTTTTTGCGGATCTTCTTAAGGCCTGCATCAAGGCCAAAGGATCAAACTTTGAATATCTTTGCATATACCTGTTCCTCTTGATCTCTTCCATCAGAAAATAAAGTTCGTTTTTGATGATACCCCTCTTTTTTAGGTTTTAGACCCAAAAACCAAAGTCTCCATACTTAAGGGACACCATGTACAGTTGAATTGTTTTGCAACCGAGTGATATCCGATTGAAATAGATAATCCACAATTAGGTTAACAGGAAAACTTTGCTGCCTACGATTTCGTTTCAAAATTTGTGAATTTCACAATTATGACTTCTGCAAAAGTATACCAAGAACGTTTATGGCTCCAAACAGCTCAACAATCGACAGAAAATCATGGAAAAGTGGGAAACGCTATGTAAGTATTACTAATGTGAGTAATTAGTACCTTAATTGGTGTTAACTTAATTTATTGAAATAGAATTTACGGGTTAAAGAACGGAGCGGAGCTACACGGAACTTGCCGACGTTTAGTTCCTCAAGGAAATCATGTTTAATTGAGCTGTAATCATGAGTAACCATAGTAATCCCAACTATCCTAATTACCATTTCCAGGCTCAACTTAAATTGCACTGGTGGCACCACAAACTGTGCCGTGGCATATTTCTGTGTTGAACCAGCTCAATAAAATCTGATTTTCCTTTTTCATATTCTCCAGACGATAAAATATATTTTTATGTTTCCTCTTCCAAATAATGAGTCTCATCTCCTTGGCACCACCGAAAAAGCAAGAAACATCTCCAACAAAAAATGTCTCATGGCTTTTTTTTTTCCGATTCGACCTTTATATTCTGTCTCTTCCTTGTTTTCGGAACATGATTGTCCCTGTCTGCATATTCTTCTTTTTCTTTTTTACACCAATTACAGTAAGAATCTTCCAGCAATTCTTGAAAATTAAAAAACACTTCAGAATGGCACAGTTAACATGTTGTTGTTTTGGGGATACCCAATTGCTGGCGTTTTGCAGTACTGTACTCAAAACACTACGGTAGCAGATTTTAGTGGATGTATGGAAGCGTGTTTGGAAAGCGATAGTTGTATGGGGCCCATACTCCCGGGGTACATCAATGGGGGAACACACTCCGGGGGAACTTCTTGCTCATGGNGTACCAAGTCTCAGGGGGTACATAGTNCTCATGGGGTACTTTTAGGTATAATCTCATGGGGTACATTTTTCGCTTTCTCATGGGGTACATCTCTGAAATACTCAGGGGGTACATCGCATTGTCTCAGAGGGTACATCGCATTGAATCTCATGTGGTAAACATCAAGTCGGATTCTACAGTTTCAGCGCTCATAGCTGCCTGATTTTTCCAACATTCGTTACATATTATGAGTGGTTTTTTTTGTTTTCCATGTAGTTATTCAAGAATGTAATTTCGCTTTTGATGTGGTTTGGAACAGAGATAACTGTCCAACATTATTTCTTCTCATTCATAATTCAGAAACATTTGGCTGATTGAAGAAAAATTGCCTATTGCAAGATATTCGGAGATTTCCGATGACCGAGGAGTTAGACGAAGCAACCAGGAGAGAACATTTTTGGTTAATGAGGAAAAAATACCACTTTTGGTCCACATTTGTGTATCCATTTCGTTTTATTTATTCGAATCAAATTTTAATAAGTTCGAAACTCGTGTGAAAGCGTCGAATTTTTTAACTCTTCGTAAATCGACACATATTGCATGGTCTCGAAGCGATGTTGCCTACGCAGCGAATTGTTGCTTGACTACATAGGAAATGACTCACAGAAGATGTGGAGTTATGGGACGAGACCTATATCATTCGAAAGAGGATGAAATTTCATTTTCAAATATATGCTCAGTTTTTGCGGCGGCCTCCGCTAACTCGAGAAATTTGGGTCAGAAGTTTTCAGTAGATTTTGCACTGAAATGCATACGTGAACGCTTCCACGTCCTCATTTCTTTTATACGCTTTGAAGATCCATTGAAAACAGCAGTGGGATGGTTCAGTGGTAAAGCGGCGGGATGGGGAAATGGTACTCTATGGTTCGACTCCTTCATAGTCGAAACTCTTTTTTTATTTTTTGTTGGTTTTTTATATGACCTGTTTTTGAGCTCAAAAGCTGTTTTCAGCAGTTTTCCATACTCTAAACACCTTTGGCATCTTGTCAAATACAAATTAACCAAGTTTTTGGAAAAAAAATTTCTGAAGAAAATTCGCATGTTTTCATGATCCATACACCTCTTTTCAAATTTTCCGATTTTTTTATCCTTGGCGGGATTATTCCAGTAGGGTTTCCATCCGGGCGGGCGGTGAGCCGCCCGCTTGCCGCCCGTTCGCCGCCCGTCTATAAAAGCGAGACATAATAATAATCGTTATAATAATAAATATAGATTTCTTTGTGTTTCAAAAAATTTTTTTTTTGAAAATTTGAAAAGAGGTGTATGGATCATGAAAACATGCGAATTTTCTTCAGAAATTTTTTTTCCAAAAACTTGGTTAATTTGTATTTGACAAGATGCCAAAGGTGTTTAGAGTATGGAAAACTGCTGAAAACAGCTTTTGAGCTCAAAAACAGGTCATATAAAAAACCAACAAAAAATAAAAAAAGAGTTTCGACTATGAAGGAGTCGAACCATAGAGTACCATTTCCCCATCCCGCCGCTTTACCACTGAACCATCCCACTGCTGTTTTCAATGGTTCTTCAAAGCGTATAAAAGAAATGAGGACGTGGAAGCGTTCACGTATGCATTTCAGTGCAAAATCTACTGAAAACTTCTGACCTAAATTTCTCGAGTTAGCGGAGGCCGCCGCAAAAACTGAGCATATATTTGAAAATGAAATTTCATCCTCTTTCGAATGATATAGGTCTCGTCCCATAACTCCACATCTTCTGTGAGTCATTCCCTAGTGAGTATCATACGTTAATGCATGTGAATTTTAGGCCGCGAACGCTATCAATCAATTTTTTCACGATTTTATCAATTTTTTAACGATTTTATCGATTTTTTACGATTTTATCAATTTAAAAAAAATTGAACTGATTTTCTTGTTGTAAATTTTTAATGACGAAATATGAACGTATCTGCTGCTTTTATAGCTCAAATTTTTTTTCCTCGCTGTTCCAGTTTTAAAATCTTAGATTTTATTCTTTCCGTCGTAATTTTGCATTGTTTTCATCCTTCCGACACGAAATCAGTATCCTTTTTTTCAGAAGCCTTCCTCCGCACAGCCCGATGATCTTCCAACAACAAAATCTTCGATTTAAAAAAAAAAGTAAGTTTTTATGCATTTTCAAATACTTGTTTAAAAGGGTAGAACACAAATTGGGATTTTTGAGATTTCGGTAACATTCAATGCAGAATTAGGAGAAAAAATATCTTGGACCATTGTACAAAAAAGCCTCATTTTTTAAAATATGGGTCAAAAACAGCGCAAAAAAGTCAACTGAGAGTGCAATTTTTCACGTGCACCCTTAAGGATTCATGCGTCCCCAGAAATAGCTTATTTGCACCATCTCAGTTGATTTTTTTGCCTGTTTTTGACCCGTTTATCGAAAAAAAGGCATTTTTGGACAATGGTTCTTAAGAATTTTCTTCCCGCGCCCTAATTTCGCATCGAGTGGTAATAAAATCTCAAAATTTTTGGAAATTGTGTACTCCCTCTTAAAATCAAACAAATTAATTACTCAAGTGTGAGTTTCAGATCGGATTCTTCATTCTACTCGTCTCTGTCTCCGCCACCTAGGATGCCATTGGATTCGGAGGACCATGGATTGTGCTGAAGGGACCTAACAGAGGAATCATCCAATCGATGATCGTCATGACCGCTGTTTGCTGCTGGATGTTCTGGATGATGATCTTCCTCCATCAACTGAATCCACTCATCGCCCACAAATCAACGTGAAGACGATTCGCTGGATTTCTGAAAATTGGAAGACTCGAAGAACCTCTTCAGTAACTAAAAATGATTTTTTTTTTCATTTTTGCCCTCCCAATTTTTTTTTGTGAAACTAATTCATGTTATATGATTTAATGCCCGGTTAGGGTAAAAATAAAGAACATGTTTTCCTTATCACTATGTTTACGATTTCTCATCATTTCTCAAGAGCACTGAAAGTGTAAAACGTTTCGTTGTGGTAGCTTTGATTGACTGAGCTGGCACCTGGTTGCTTCGTCTAACTCCTCGGTCATCGGAAATCTCCGAATATCTTGCAATAGGCAATTTTTCTTCAATCAGCCAAATGTTTCTGAATTATGAATGAGAAGAAATAATGTTGGACAGTTATCTCTGTTCCAAACCACATCAAAAGCGAAATTACATTCTTGAATAACTACATGGAAAACAAAAAAAACCACTCATAATATGTAACGAATGTTGGAAAAATCAGGCAGCTATGAGCGCTGAAACTGTAGAATCCGACTTGATGTTTACCACATGAGATTCAATGCGATGTACCCTCTGAGACAATGCGATGTACCCCCTGAGTATTTCAGAGATTTACCCCATGAGAAAGCGAAAAATGTACCCCATGAGATTATACCTAAAATGTACCCCATGAGACTATGTACCCTCTGAGACTTTGTACCCCATGAGCACGATGTACCCCATACTGATGTACCCCGGGAGAATGGGCCGTTGTATGGTGGGTGAAAAATGTTAAATCAAAATGTGAGTGAAAGACGGAAAAAACGAAAGAGAATTCTCAATATTATGACACTGTAAAAATTTCGGCTCTCGTTGGGTATTTTGGTTTAGTGTTGAAGGAGTGTATACAGGAGAGATAGTGCGTGCATTTTTGCTTGTTGGTGTTTACACCTTTTAGTTTCTCCGAAGACTACTGTAACCTTCAAAGTCTATCAGTGTGCTGCTGCAACATCAATTTTTTGGAAAAAAACTCATACTTTGAATTCAAAACATTCTCAATTTCTTCAAAGTGTTAACCTAATTTTAAATTATCAACAGCAATTATTGATCATTTGGCGAGGTTGTGATTTGCTTTTTTTTCAATTATTCGCGTCCCACTCAATATGAAATGTAGAAAATCTTCTAGATTTTTTAAAAATCTTATTGTTAGTTGTGATGTGATAAAAAGACAGAGTGGATCGAAACATTCATTCCAAAAATTGTTTGAAAATTAATACGTTTTGAAAATGCGAAAAATTGGAATCAGCAAATGATCGACACAGTTATGGTGTTAATTGAAATGAATAATCGATTGAAAAACAGAGATTGAAAATGTCCAAAAACTTTTAGCAAATTTTAGGATTGATCGCGATGGATCAGTTGGAACATCCTAATTTCTAAATTTTTTGGTTTTGAAACGGTGAAATTTTGAAAAGGTATATAAACAATATTTTTTAAACGATTTCTTTTTGTTTAGCCGAAATGAAGAGTTGCTGAGCTATGGTCGCATTTTTTATCTAACTTTAGTAGAAAAATATTCAACTTCGAATGTCTACAAAATATAATAGATTTTTTAGATAAGCTTAAAATTCGTGAGATGTGCTGAACAAAAATATAGCTACAATATTGCAATTGAACATTTTTTGTAAAAATTGACTCAAATAAGATGAATCGCTTCAAGTACCAAACTTTCCAAAATAAATTTGGGAAGAGGATATAGCATATCTAATTTTTATATTTCAAAATTAAGAAAAGTTCATCGATTTAAGGAACAAGAATAATAATTGAATCATAGTTGAAACAACATAGACATTGGCTTTTATCCGATCAGTAGAAATAATGATAAAGATGTGTGCAGAAGTAAAATTTGAAAAACAAAAGAAACTATCACAGATCCAAGAAGCAGAGAACATTTCTCAATGTTCCTGATTTTCGTGAGTTTAACAATGTAAGAATCAAAACCTCGTCCGACAGCACATTTCTTCCAAACCGAAACTGATAATAATTTCATGGAACACAATTTTTTTGTCATTTCCTCCATTTTCCATCAAATTCAGCTATCATATGGTAACGACACCACTTGTGTCCTCTGTGACATCTACACAGTCACATCAATCACTCAAACCGATTCCTCAAATGGTATAAAAATAGCAGTAAAAGTGGATGGCCAAAATTCGTGTCCAGTTGATGCGGGCTCCAATGTTTATACTTTTACGGTGAGCAATTTTTTGAAAATTTTTCATTAAAGGTGGGGGGACATGAAAAAAATAATGTTCTCGAAATTTCGTTTAAATATGCCCCTCGAGGAGTTGAACGTGTGGGGCGAGGATTGAGGGTGCGACGCCGCTACCGACTGAGCTACACGGGCAAAGAGAAAGCGGTCGCCCGATTGCATACATAAAGGCGAGGACGACAGCTGTACGCAGAGTTGCGTTAAGCGTTGTACACCGTCACGGTAGAATGCATACTCTAGCTACAAAAAAACTACGAAAAATCTCCTGTCCCCCCACCTTTAAAGTACTATGAGATCACTTCCTCACAAATTGTAATAAAGTTACTTGTAAAATTTAATGGGGTCTCTCTTCCAAAGTTTCACCCATTATCAAAAACAAGTTGTGATCAGTATAGATAATGTGAACGAAGCAGAAAAATTTTTTTGGCTCTTGTTAAATGAAAATTAGCTGAAAACATTAATAAAGACTTCAGAATGGCAACAACGGCTACACGATGACCTACTCCGACCCTACATGGACCATATCGATAACTAAAAGTTGTCCGAATAGTTCATGGAGAATGTTCGCAAGACCAGCAGGACCGTTTTGTATAAAGGTGAGTCCCAATCGCAGTTTTTAGGAGCAGAAAGGCTTTTTGGCTTCTGGGTGTGGGAAAATGGATCAATTAGGAGCCGGAAAGTCACCTCCAGATATGCTGAAATTCGAACAGTATTTTGTGTTCTTGGGAATTTGCACAATACATCACTTTTTGAAAAAAGAACACCGAGATATGCTGAAATTGAAATAAGAATATTTTTTAAGAACAAATTTCCAGGTAACGAGCTCAAACCAAGGGGTCTCCAGAAACAATGCTACTGTTATTTGCAATACAACAACCAACGCTTGGTTGACAGGTTTCAATGGAATCGCAGAGTTTAATTATATTTTTGGTGAGTACGATATACCTGCACTTTGAGCTCAATTAGCGGAAATAATGTAAAAAATATCGAAAAGCTGTGGACTGGTAAAATGTTAGTCGTAATATGTCTGACATTTTATTAGTTGACTTTTTTAAATATGTGTTGTAGAAACTGAGATAATTGAGCTTAAGATAACCTTGTGTACGATCGTCTTTAGTCGTAGACGTAATTTCGTACGGTAGTCGCTAGACGTAGTTTTCATAGGAATAGTCATAAGATTTTGAGATAACAGGATTTTAATATCATTCTGACCGCAATTCGTAATGCGTTGTACATCAGCAGTTTCATTGAAGCAAATACGCTCAATTTCAAAAACCGAAACAGTACATTTTTACTGTTTCCACTAAGAAATCTAAAGCATAAAGTTTTGCGAATTTAGTTTCACTGACTTTCTCGAGTTTAATGGGCTAGAAAGATAGTTTCAAGAAGAAATGGTACTTACAAATACAGGTCAAATGATACACAGCCAGCTAAACGATTCTCTAGTTGTCTGCACTTTTTCTAACTTTCGCTGGTATAAAGTTTACGGTTTCAAATGGTTGAGGAAATTGAAACTTTATTGACACTACATTCCAGGATGTATAAATTCTCTGAAACACCTATTTTATGATCAATTAGAGTTATTTAGTTAGACATTGATGTACCGTAACTGGTCGTTTTCCTCTGATCCTTACCGCTTAGTATTTTGAACTCAATTATCTCGCTTTCCACGAGAGACGTTAAAAATTTGTCAACTGATAAAATGTTTGTTATAATATCACCAACATTTTGCTAGTCGGCCAATTTTTGATATCTCTTATGAGAACCGAGATAATTAAGCTCTAAAATTGAGACACCGCCCGATCGCTATTCCCAACGCCGCTCAACTACCAATACCTGTCAGTTTGGTTTAGTGGACTCATGAGATCCACGTGCGCTGATACTCCACAAACAACGAATTGTACAGGATTTGCTGTGAGGATCCCTAAAATTCACTCCAATATTTCCATTTCCCAGGCTTTCGGAGAATTCCCATCTCAAACAAACTGGGACCTATACAAGTTCCCATCTGGTTATCCAAACTTCACGATTCTGTCATCTGGATACTATCAAAGGTGTCTACAATTAGCATGGAGTCAAGAATTGACAGCTTATAATGGAATGGTCATTAATGCGGCGTAAGTGTTTAGGGGAGAAAGTTTTAGATTATTGATTTTCAGATGTGAATTCGCTTGCAATGGAGAAAACAAAATTTGTGCGTTTTCGTATGCTTGTGGCGTTTTGGCCAGTTGAAAATGATCATTATTAGTTTTCGGTTGAGATTGGAATAAAGTTTTTAGAATTGAAAGTTTTTAATGTTTCATGATTGTCATAAATTTTTGGAAAACACTGTACTGTTAATTGGATCTGAATTTCAATTTTCAGAATTTCAGAATTTTTGAATTTCTGAATTTCTGACTTTCTGAATTCCAGAATTTCAATATTCCAGAATTTCGGAATTGCAGTATTTCAGAATTTTACAAATTTTGAATTTTAGAATTTCGCAAAATCATAATAACCGAATCTGGTAATCTCAAACCTCGGAATCTCAGAATCTTGAAATAACAGAATCTCTGAACTTTTCGGGAAATTTTTACAGTTTCGAAAAAAGGTCCAAGTTCAAAGTAAAAATTATTAAAGCTCAAATCGTAGTAAGAAAATGTTGAAAAAACAAGAGATTTTTAGAATTGATTATTCCGCAATTGGACGTTCTGAAACAAGCGGTTCTGAAACTTTTGTTTGCAAAATGACTAGCTCAATAGTAAAACTTCGAGGACTTCTAAACACGAAAATCGCAATTTTGAAAATCAAAACTGCCTGCTTTTTTCCGCGGTTCATAGATTTTTTCCATCGGTTTAACCTTTTAAAATTTCGAATACAAATCTCAGAATCCTTCAGAATTTCGGAAATTTCAAATTCACAAAATTTTCAATGTTTCTAACCGCTAATAACCGCTAGATGATTTTTTTCTAATTCTAGTATACACACGGAAATGGATTCTCCTGAAAAAAAAACTGAAATTCAAAGCAATGAAGATCCCAACTAAACTAAACACACCTTTTTCGTATTACTATTCCACACTAAATATGAATGAGATCATCTCCATTGGCACCACCGAAAACAAAGCGGCCCCCGCCTTACATCGGCAACTATTTTTCATTTCTTTTCATTGTTTCGTCATAAAATCATATTTTCTGAATTTTATTAGCCTTACAATGTATATTCTCCTGTTCCTTTGTTACCTGGTGAAAACGGTTTGTGGCAGTTACTTCAAGGGCCTGTATTAAGAGACCCCCCTTTGATTGAAGGTTCCTTGTAATAGAAGGTCCGGCCCTTCTAATATAGTTTTTACGGTATGACATTCTTAATCAGACATAGTTGATTCAGAACGCCACGATCCTCCATTTCTGGGGTTACCCAACATCTGAAGAAGAGTCCAAGTCCTGTACTTTGAATGCAGCTGCTGATTTCCAAGGTTGTATGGATTTGTGTGTTGGAATGGAGTGGTGTATGGTGAGTCAGAACTTTTGAATTTATGATCTACAGTAAGATATCAAGATTTGGCCTTCTCAGGGAAAAATGATTTTAAAATCTTGATTTTAAGATTTCCAATCTGGATTTTTCGATTACCTAACTCTGAAATTACTGACTTTTTGAAGTTTTACATTTTTGGTTTTATTGAATTTCAGGTTTTTTTTCCCGAAATATCAGAATTTTCCAAATTTCAGATGCTTGAAATTCCATACTTTTATAAATGTCGGATTCTGTCGAATATTATATTCACAGAAATTTCACAGTTTCCCAAATTTCATATTATTAGAAATTACAGTTTTCAAAATTTTCAAGTGTTTTTGAAACACGAAAATTTTGAATGTATTAGATTTTGAAAATTTGATACTTTTAGGAATTTCAGCTTTCTAGAACTTTCAGATTTTTAAAGAAATATGGATTTTTGCAGATTTTGGAATATTTTTAATTTTGGAACTTGGAAAACGCGGTATTAATGGTTTTTTGAAATTATCAACTCATGAAAATGTATATTTGTTTCCGTTTCCGTTTTCCGTATTTCGGAAAAATGCGTTTTTCAAAATTCTTCGATTTGTCTGAAAATTCAAGATGTACTAAACAGAATTAGAACTTCTGTTTAAAAATTGTTCTAATCAGTCCAGATATTGTCGGGATTATTACTTCAATGAGAATTCTGCAAATTTAAAACAGTTTCATGAAACCGATAAATATTACTATTAGCAACTTTTATGTTGAAAATTCACAAGCGTCATCTTCCAGCTATCCTACGGAAACGGCACCACTTGTATCCTATGTGACATCTACACAATCAGTTCAATCACTCAATCAGATCTCTCAAAAGGAATCGAAATCGCAGTAAAAGTTGATGTTCAGAATTCGTGTCCAGTGGAAATAGTCTCCAATGTTTATACGTACACGGTAAGCAGTTTCTTGCTAAGAGGATGAGGAAGTTGAACTAGCATTCTTAAATCTTCAGAAAAATTCCAATGGCTACACAATGACCTACTCGGACCCGTTATGGATCATTTCTTCCGGGAGGGTTTGCCCGGACGACACCTGGAAACAAGTTCCAAGGGCAGTTGGTCCATTTTGTATTAAGGTAAATTTTTTATGCTTTACTTTGAATGAGAGAGAGAAAACATAATTACGTACATGCGATGTACCATTAAACAAAATCTCACTAGAATCCCTACATGCAGTGTTTGAAACAGTTAAAAAACTTGAAGACCGATTTTTTTTTTAAATTTAACTTTTGGGTTTCCAGGTCTTCAGTTCAAATGCCGGAGTAACTCGAAACAATGCACTTGCGGTTTGTGAAACTTATGGTGGCTGGTTGGCAGGGTTTGAAACCATCATTGACTATAATTATATTTTTGGTGAGTTCTTTAAAGGCTCTTTGAGGAGTTGAAATTTACCGCTTTCCACTCGCAGAGTCAGATGAGCTACGCGGTTCAAAAAAGTTATCTTATCACTTATGACTGATGTCGGGATAGCGTTCTCATTGCCTTCAAAATAAATTCAATCAATTTCTGGACTGTTTGAAACACTTTTTTTCACCCAGTTATGGCTTCAAAAAACTGTCAACTGATAAAATGCTTATCGAAATATCACCAATATATTTATAGTTCACAAATTTTTGATATCTCATATATTTTTGATATCTCATATAATTTTTGATATCTTATAGGAACCGAGATAATTGAGCTCTAATTCCAGACACCGCGAGATCCCTATTCCCGACACCTCTCGACTACCAATACCTGACTGTTTGGATCAGTGGACTCATGAAGACGGCATGTCAAGATGATACAGGGACTGTTAATTGTGCTGGAATAAAGGTAAATCCATTATTCTATGAGTTCCCCCCTCCCGTAAGATCCCGTTTTCCAGGCATTTGGTGAATTTCCAAATCAGAACAATCAAGATCTATACCGCTTCCCTCCTGGCTATCCGAATTTCACCAAACTGAATACGGGATACTATCAAAGGGGGTTACAATTAACATGGAGTCAACAATTGACCGCGTATAATGGAATGGTTACTAATGCGGCGTAAGCGTTTAGTAGAAGAATATTCAGAATATATGACTTTCAGAACGGAATACGCTTGTAATGGAGAGCAGAAGATTTGTGCATTTTCGTATGCGTGCGGGATATTGGGGAAAGTATAATCACATAATTTTCAAAAAGTATATGTTACATGATTTTCATAAATATGAGATGGACAAAACTCATTTTGCTATACAGAGATTTTCCTATTTTTTCTCGGGTCTTTTGATTTTAAAACCAAAGTACATTCATATAAATATACGTATTGAAATGTTAGCCTCCCCTATACGTGCATTTCGAGCACAATTATCTCGGTTCTTTCAGAAGATATCAAAATTTTGTCAACTGATAAAACGTTCATCTGAATATCACCAATATTTTATCAACTTGCAAATTTTTGATTACTCTGAGAGGAAGCGAGATATTTGAGCTCAAAGAGCACTTGTTCTATTAGAGCAAAAGATGAGTAATATTAGAGCGATTCGAATAGTAATTGAGGTTGAGGGATTTCGAGGATCTTTATGGTTAAAAAAATATTGAAAAAATAACTGTTCCATCGACACTTTATGTATAAACCATGATAAATTGTTTCAATGGATTTTACAATCGAGAAAAAGTTTTCGATTAAAGGTGGTGTGCGGTAGGGTTCCGAAAAAAGCTCAGTCACGAGCTTAAGCTCACGTGAGCTCATCATGAAGCAGGCTCATACGAGCCTTTTCCCACTACACGTAAAAGCTCACACAGGCTCATTTGACGAAAATATTGATTTTGAAAAAAGCTCATCGAGGCTCATTTGACGTAATTATTGATTTTGATAAAAGCTCATCAAGGCTCATTTGCAAAAAAGCTCACGTCGACTCTTGTTCAAAAAAAAGGCTCACGGAAGCATAGTTCAAAAAATGAACTGGAAAAGTGTTCACGTGGCAAAAATAATAATATCAACAAACACTTTAGCCAAATATTCAACTAATCAAGTGACCTGATGGGCAGAAACGATAGTGGCCTGAAAAAAACAATGGCGGCCTAGAAAACTTATCTTGCAAAAATTAGGTCATCATGTGAAAATAGCCTAGAAATCATATCAGGTGAATATCGAGCGATTTCAACGCCATTTTCACTTGGTTGCGTAACTTTTGCAAGTGAGTTTTCTAGGCCATCAATTTTTGTGATACAGAAATGGTCTGGCATAAACCTAATATGTTTTCTAATCTATATTGACACAGTGGCTTATCTATTCCTTGTTGAGTTCTTTAGGCAACCATATTTATGTCGAAGAAATCGTGTAGCATTCACCTGTTATGTTTTCTAAGATATTTTCACATGGTGGCCTAACTTTTGACAGTTGAGTTTTCTAGGCCACCTCGTTAAAATGACTTAGAAAACGTATCAGGTGAATGTTATAACATTTTTAGGCCATAGAAGTAGGTGCCCTAGGGAACTCAACATGCAATAGTAGGCCACCTTGTTAAAATGGCCTAGAAATGACTTGATATTTAGAGTATTCCATGGCCACTCATGATTTTTCCATGAATTCAATGATTTTTTTTCTGATTTGTTTTCTTTGTTTATTTATGATGAGCCATATGAGCTTCTTAATAAAAATCACAGAAAGGCTCATGAGCCTTGGTGAGCTTTTCGATAAAACTAAAAAAGAGTCGCGTGAGCTTTTTTATTTTTTTCAAAAAGCTCATTCAAAATCAAATGAGCCTTAATGAGCTATTTGAAAAGCTCATTTTTACGTAAAAGCTCATCATGCTTTTTCAAATTCGGAACCCTAGTGTGCGGTGAAATTTTTTATTGCTTTATTTTATGCAGAAATCTGTGTAGATTCCCATAAAAATAAAGAAACAATTCAAGAAAATTCCTTCATCGAGAAAAACGCATCGAAAAATACGCTGAAAGCCCTTAGGGACGAGCTTTTTCTCTAGGCCGCCCGGTGAGTAAAAGCGCGCGAA